TTTATATATATATATATATATACACATACATCTGTGTGTGTATATATATATATATATGTGTGTGTGTGACCTTACAAAAAAGGGTTGGTTAGGGCTTGGTTTAGGGTGTGGTGGGTTAGGGGTTTGGGGCTGGTTTACGGTTCAGGGTTCAAGCTTTGGGCTTAGCGTTTAGGGTAACCCCTGCCGCTGGTTGCGAGCAATCGATTCGACATCTGCAAACTCCACGATGTGGCTGAAACGCATGCTCACAGGAACCTGACACAAGAAGCTCGGTTCAAGCGGCCCGTGCATCACCTTCTTGTTGAGGCCTAGAGTTCATCATGCCTTCCACTGCCACCAACGTTGCCATGGCTGGCGTCGGTGCCTTCGCGGCAGCGGGTGCCTTGAGCGGTGCCTTCGTTGCGCCTGCTGGCCAGGTCCAGCACAGCGAGCCTCAGATGCAGAGGACCAACCTCCGCGCCGCTGGCTATGGCTCCTCTCAGGCTTCTGGTGTTGGTGCCATCGCTGGCCTCGGTGCCGTGGCCGGCCTGGCGGCAGCGGGCGTGGCTGGCAAGCGTGCCAGCAAGGGACGCACCTCCATGCAGGCCGTGGGCGTCGGCATCAACGGCTTCGGCCGCATCGGCAGGCAGGTGGCCCGCATCGCCATGAAGGACCCGGAGACCGAGCTCAAGCTCATCAATGCCAGCTATGATGCCGACTACCTGGCATACATGATGAAATATGATACGATCCACGGTAAGTATGATGGAAACGTCGAGGTTGATGGGGACTCCCTGGTCATCGATGGCCAGAAGGTCGCCTTGTCCCACACCCGCGACCCTGCTGAGATCCCGTTCGGCGAGCACGGTGCAGAGTACGTCTGCGAGTCCACCGGCGTGTTCCTGACCACCGAGAAGGTGCAGCCGCACTTGAAGGCCGGTGCTAAGAAGGTGATCTTCTCCGCGCCCGCAAAGGATGACTCCCACACCATCGTCATGGGCGTGAACGAGGACACCTACGATCCCTCCATGGAGGCCGTGTCCTGCGCCTCTTGCACTACCAACGGCCTGGCCCCAGCCGTGCGTGTCCTGCAAGAGAAGTTCGGCATCAAGCGCGGCCTGATGACCACCTGCCATGCCATGACCGCCTCTCAGCCCACTGTGGATGGCACCTCCAAGAAGGACTGGCGCGGCGGTCGTGCCGGCCCTGGCAACATCATTCCCAGCTCCACCGGCGCTGCCAAGGCAGTGGCGAAGGTCATTCCGGACGTGAAGGGCAAGCTGACCGGCATGGCTTTGCGTGTGCCGACCATCGACGTGTCCGTGGTCGACCTGACCGTGGAGTTGGAGAAGGAGACCACCTACGAGGAGATCTGCGCCGAGATGAAAAAGCGTTCCGAGGGAGACATGAAGGGCTACCTGGGCTACACGGACGAGGCCCTGGTGTCCACCGATTTCGAGACCAATCCGATCTCTTGCACTTTCGACTCCAAGGCTGGCATCATGCTGGACCCCACCTTCGTCAAGGTGGTGTGCTGGTATGATAACGATTCTACGGCTTTCCTGGAACACTTTCGGTATCGTGTATTCTGAGGAAGGAACATAATGATATAGGACAGCTGTCAATTTGTATAGGGCCACGAAGTAAAAGCATCTCAGGAGTGGGGCTACAGCTGCCGCGTTGTCGATTTGATCAAGCACATGGCCAAGGAGGATGCCAAGGCATAAGCTGTCCATCCGATGCTGCAAGCGTTTAAGGTCAGTAGAAGATGCCAGGGTTGATGAAATCAACCTCCGCTTGCTCCTCTTAGACTCTTGGACTCTTCGAGCTTATTTTTCCTTATCACTGCCGAGCGCAAGGCATTCCCCGACAAACAGAGTGTTCTTCGATTTTTTCTTCACATGCAACTGCCGATGAGCGCAGCGACGCCTTTACTCTGACACTCAAAGGAGGTTTAGTTTATCATAGGGCCCCTAAGGCTAGGGGGAGGGGGGGGGGAGGGCCTTAATCCCCACTAATAAGGCCTACTTGAGGAAGTCCCTACTCCCCCTTACCCCCTTAAGGGTCCCTTTGAGTTTGGTTTGGCTTTCGGTTTTTCGGATCCGTGGTCGTCGACCGTGAGGGTGGAGATAGAGAGCCTCTTGTCTACGGTTGCTTTGCTCTAGAGTCCATGCACATGGTAGTCAGCTGCACGGCCCCTATTCAAGGTCCCTTGAGTGCATTTGGTGTAGCAAAGGGCACTTTGGATGGGTGTCTTTGTGGCTTAATACCCAGACCTTCCAAAATCCCTTAATTAAGGAATATACCTTAAATCATATCAGGGATCCTATTATAGTTTAAGGTATATTCCTGAATCAAGGGATTTTGGAAGGTCTGGGTACCCACCACCTCTCTAAACCATCCTGAGCTTTACACTGGCCTGACTTCCAGAAGCCCAAACCTCCCAAACCCGGACCCTAAGCCATATGCCATAATATCTAGGATGCCCAGTAGTACCCTTATTCCCTTTTTGTAGTCCTATAGGTTCCTTATAATATAAAGTTACCCAATACCAAAAAGAGAGGCCTTTTTATTCTTAGGTTGCTGGGTATCCTAGATATACTGCACCCCGACATTCCCTAAACCTGCTGTATGAATCCAGACGTTGTCGCTGAAGAACCGACTCAGGATTGTCAAGGTTGCTTGAATGAGTACTTGGGCAGCTTTTTCCAACACCTTCAAATCCGTTTCACTACACTAATATCGATCACGGATGTTCGTACTCATGTTGTTTAAATGTTAGTGCTTGATTGAAGGTCGTAGTCGTATTTGATCATACATGTTACATAGAACGTCTTCTTTGACTAAACACTAAGCCCACAAAATGCAGGCCTCCACAATGTGCTTTTCTGTTTCTAAATAATACTCAAAACGGGTTATGTAGCGAATAGCGGCTAGCTATACCGACATGTTATTACCTAGAGACCCCAAAGTAGTTCCTTGTTGGGATTGCCTTATAGGATTCTATATATGAACCCCACTCTACTTTGGGGGCTTTGGGTATACGCTACTCCAGGGTTTAGGGTTTAAATACGGCTAACCATCGGGATCTCATTACTGTTGATTCGAGCTCCTACTGCTGATGATATAAATCCTGCATCACCCATAATAAGGAACATGTCATAACTCCCCTAGGTTAGGGTCCTTAGGGTAATGCAGGGTTTATACCATCAACAGTATGACTTAGGCTGAGGTTGCTGGGGTCTTGGTCTCCGAGCCAGCTTGTACGAAGGTAGGAACCTGATTGAGAAACCTTGGGCCTTTGTTAGGGTTCCTTACATGGGAGTTTCCGAAAATTAGGGGAACGGGGAACCCTATTTGGGGGTCCTTATAATAAGGATCCCACTATCTAGGGTACTATATTAGGGTCCCCTGTTTTCGGAAACTCCCATATGAATCGAATCCTACTATTTGTGGGTATAGGCCCAGCGTTGCTTAATCAGGTTCCTACATTAGGAGAGCCTGAATCACTGCCGATATCAGTTCGTGGGCGGCGCCTTGTTCTGCTGCTTCTATAGTATACCCTTAAGCACTAAGTAAGGATAGGAAAAAACCCTGAAGCCCCGTTCTAATTGTAAAGGCTCTTGCTATGTTCGACCAACCAAATCAACAAAAATCTGGTTCTGCCATGGAAAAAGGCGGTCGAAAAACAACACCGCAAAAGGCTGGGGCTTTCGGATGACGGCCGCTGCTGCCGCCTGCTGCCTAAGCCGCTGCCCAGGCGAAAACTATCGAAGGAGGCGGGTTTCTGGGGTTGCTACGTGTAAGTGCTCTGAATGGCGTTTAGGGTTCAGGGATTTCGCATATGGTTCTTCTTTGTTGTTTCGCGGCTGGGGCTTGCGCTTAGGTTTCTTCCTAAAGGGACCGCCGCAGAACGTCGTTAGTTGAATGCTACAGGCATCGAGCACGTCCAGGTGTAAGAAGCTCGGAGCTACCAAGCATACCAATTCCTCCCAGTCCTGTGAATGTAGAAAACTGTAAGGAATAAGCTGTGTTCACGCTCGCGTACACCCGAGAGCTGTGCACCAAACCCAGGCAGCGCGCAGTTTAGTATACTAGCATGTATTGTGATATTCTGCCTGCTGCATTATGTATGTTGTAGAAGACTTTCATACATACAGCCAGACAGCCAGCCAGCCATCCATCCATACATGCGTGGATACAAACATATGTGTATGTGTGTATACATATATATATATATATATATTTATAATGGGTATCTATATATTGTAATATAGATATATGCACATGTATGAACAGATCTAGATATGAGACCCACGATGAACCTGGAGGATATGGTCGAGTCCCACCGGGGCTTCTGCTTCAGCAGCTGGCAGCTGGACTTTTCTGGCTTGACAGTGTTTAATGTATGGGCCTCAATAATTAGAACTGGATTCCTAAAGTTCCTTTGAAGGGGTCTAGAAGGGTTACTCTACAGTACTATAAAGGGCCTCAATTAGAATTGGGTCTTGGGGCGATGTGGGCGAAAGCCTGTCGACGAAGGTTTTGGGATATACTCTACCATAATTATAATCACTAGGATGCCCAGTAGTACCCTTATTCCCTTTTTGTAGTCCTAGGTTCCTTATAAAGTTACCCAATACCAAAAAGAGAGGCCTTTTTTTTCTTAGGTTACTGGGTATCCTAGATCAGGAACGCCCAAACCCTATTCTGATTACTGAAGTTCTCTACATGGCAGTTTTCAGGGCTTTGGGGGCCTTTGCTCCCAGACCTGCCAAAATCCCTTCAATTAAGGAATATACCTTAAACTATAATAGGATCCCTAAGATGATTTAAGGTATATTCCTTAATTAAGGGATTTTGGAAGGTCTGGGCTGTTTCAGGGTTCAAGGCGCCTTGAACCCTTCAAAGAGAGCATCCAGGCTTTTTTTGGCTGGGTGACCCTAAACCCTAAACCCTAAACCCTAAACCCTAAACCCTAAACCCTAAACCCTAAACCCTAAACCCTAAACCCTAAACCTGGAGGTCATGGGTTGAGGCTTCGGATGACGATCTTGCCGTCGGGCAATTCCATCCTAGCCGTCTGAACCTGAGCCATGAGTATGTTAATCATCACTATCGGTTTAGGCGTTTAGGGTTTACCCAAAGGCTCCTATGTACCGACATAGTAGAATGTAGGGTTTCAGTATTAAGAATTATTGCTATTATGACTCATGGAAGTATCCCCCATAACAGTACACAGGACCCTTCGGGATCATCACTGTCGGTTTAGGGTTTAGGGTTTAGGGCCAGGTCACCATCATCAGCACCGAAGCCGCTTCCACCGTAATGGACCAAAACCACAGCAGGCTTTTCTTTCGCGGCATGCATCCCTCGGCAAAGCTGGAAGGCTTACTGCGCAAGTCTCGAATTCTGCGGCCAGCCTGAGCTGTGCAATCCTTCTATGTACGGCCATGAGACCACTCAAGACCAGTACTGCTATATCCACATGAGGGATGAAGGTGGTTATTGTTGATCATGTAGTGCTATGATGGTTATTATTATCAGTTTGGATGTTACGACAAATTGGTTGAGCGATGATAAAACACCAATAGAACGATAGCTGGCCCGAGCCAAGACACACCGCGAAAACTCTGGAGTTTGGGGCCGTTGGGGTTCAGGGCATAATGTACAGGCCCCCAACCCCCTTGAAACGCTTTGTGTGCTTTGGTTTGGAATCTCATGATCCAAGTATTAGTTTTTTTTAATCCTTAAACCCAAACTCCTAAACCCTTAACACATGGGGGTTTCCGAAAATTAGGGGTACCTGATATTGGGGTCCTTACAATAAGGATCCTACTATTTAGGGTACTATATTAGGGTCCCCTATATTCGGAAACTCCCAAATCGTTCAAGGAACCCTGAAGGGTACGCGAGACCCTAAAGCCTCAAACCCGCCTGAGTATTTTCAGGCACAGCGAATCGGTGGATGTCGACCGAGTGCAGGCTTGGGCTGACATGTTCTGCAGTGTGTATACAGAGGCCTCAGTAAAAACAACACTAATACCCACAATAATCGCCATGGTAGTAATAGTAATGAATACAGAACACTAAGATTAATAGTAGAATGTGAGTAATCGAAACTTTCCACCTGGAATAATTTTCGGAGTATAAATATTGTTCATCGGTTTTTTCCACTTGGAAGACTTTTCGGAGTATACTACACCAACTTTCAGAAAGTGTCGGGTCCAGGCCGAAGCACCTGCCATAGGCATTACGGGCCCTAAGGATTTCGGGGATTGATGACCCAGAGCCTCCAAAACCCCTTAATTAAGGAATATACCTTAAATTATAGTAGGATCCCGAATATGATTTAAGGTATATTCCTTAATTAAGGGGTTTTGGAGGCTCTGGGGACGTCAGCTTGCGGTAGAAGCCCAAAAGTTGGAAACCCCATCGCCTCAATCCTGAAGAGTAATGTATAGGGAATCCCAGCACTATTTGGCCTTAATCCGGTTTCCAACTTTGTGGAGTTTACTGTAAGGCTAACGGTTAGAAGTTGGGGACTGGAGGGTTGAGGGGTAAGGGTTGAGGGGTTTGGGGTTGAGGGTTTTAGGGTTGAGGGTTTAGGGTTGAGGGGTTTAGGGTTGAGGGGTTTAGGGTTGAGGGGTTTAGGGTTGAGGGTTTAGGGTTGAGGGGGTTAGGGTTGAGGGGTTTAGGGTTGAGGGGTTTAGGGTTGAGGGGTTTAGGGTTGAGGGGTTTAGGGTTGAGGGTTTAGGGTTGAGGTTTTAGGGTTGAGGGTTTAGGGTTGAGGGTTTAGGGTTGAGGGTTTAGGGTTGAGGGTATAGGATTGCAGGTTTCGGGCCACTTATTCAGGGGTCGGCCTCCTGCGTGGTTTCTGTGCTTGTAGTGTTACGGACGTGACGTTACTTCAGCGTTTGTTGGGTGAGCCCTTCACTACTACTTACTACTTGTCGCACGATATTTTCCTGAATAGTCTTAGTTGTAACACCTTCCTCTCTGTATTGCGCCCAACCGGAAACCCTGAACCTGAAGCCACGAAGCCCAAATCCTAAACCCTCATCCGTAGTAGACCCCTAAACCTCCACCCCTAAAATCCAGTCCTTCCAGGAAGACGTCCGATCCGAATCCTGCAAAGCGCGACACGGCGACTACCCCTGCGCACTCCCCAAGGCGCTCCCGTTTAGGCGAGCTTTGGATAGTCTATTAAAATAGGGTGTACCCAAAGGCCCCAAAGTAGTCCCTTTTGGGGGCTCGTAATTATATGGAATCCTATAAGGTAATCCCAAAAAGGAACTACTTTGGGGCCTCTAGGTAGGGTTTATGGTTTAGGCTTGAAGGTACAGGGGTTGCGGGTTGTTAAGCGTTTCTGTGTGTGTGTGTGCTGTTTTTGTTTGACTACCGGGCAGGCTGGTCACGGTTAGCGAGTAGCGAACTTATATGAGATAGAAGCAGCGCTGTCTTATATGCCCGAGTTATTATAGCACAGTATACCCCCATGTAGATAGGGGGATGGCTATGCAGCTCGCTAGAATTTGGTCCTTTACTTTGTAGCTGAGGCGGCAACTTTTCTGTAACCGTTTGGGTTTTCTGAATCCTACCACAAGTCATGTACTGTAGGGCCGAAAAAATTGCGTCTACTATTCTGGGGGCTCCTGATAGTTCTAGTTATAGTATAATCCACCACACAACCCTATTCTAACTGTTACGGCCCCTATAACGGACGCCCTCGTTTTCAGCAGGACAGTACGAACAGGCCTTCCTTTCTAGCCCCTCGCGATACTAACATGTGCACCAAACCCCTGTGCTAATTGTCAATGCCCCGTGACAAATCAACTTCAGAACTGTTTTAGGGTAGTTTCGTTTCAGGACATGTTTAGCACCCGTGGATAGGGGTGTAGTGTGCAGGGAATAGGATTTGGGGTAGAGGGTTCGTGCTTAGGCTTCATCTGAACCCCACAAAGCCTTATACAAGTCGCCGAAATGCTTTCCTATTTGGTGTTTAGACTGGGCTCAGGCTGCAGGAGTCAGTGTAGAAGCTTCCTCAATGCATGCAAGAAAAGCAGGTATGAAGCTTTTGACAAACCTAACATAATCGAGGGCTTAGGATTCAATTCATGGATTCGATGTAAGCATCTAAACCCTACAAGCCCCACATGCTACAATGGGTTCAAGCTGACCGGAAGCCCTTCAAGCACCAACCCCACTGAAACCCTTATCTTCTACTCGCCAGGCCAGCGTAATCATGGTCTTCCACAACGAGCATATGCCGACCTTGTCCGGCTCCAAGATGCTAAGTACTTGACGCTGAAGGGACTTGTTCTATGGGTGACGTGTCCGTACGGTACTTGCATATCCGTGAGCTTACATCAACGTGACATAAGCCGACCTTCTCTTGCATGTGGTTGCGCCCGATTCATCGCACGGACTGTGAGGGTTTGCAAAGGCTGGACTCTGCAAAGGTTTCAATAAGGATTGTTTTCGCTCTTGCACAGATGTTAGTACGCAGTTGATATCGCAGGAGTAATCCTGAAGCAACGAGTACCCACTGATCGGCTGAGAGCCTGGGTGTTGTCTGTGTTAGCCCTAAACTCTACAGATCCTGAACCCTAAAGCGTTTGAGGAAAGCGGATAGGAGTTCCTCCCATTTAATTGTAGCGTCCTGGACTCTAGTGGCGAGGGCGGAGAAGCATTTTCTTACAGGTGTCGAAATGAGCAGCCGTCAAAACTTCCGTAATTGTAGTTAAGAGTAGGGTGACCGTGGAATGTCGGATTTTGCCAATTTCCTTGGAAAGCGATAGGACCCCCCAAAAGCGATACGATTAATGAGGATCCGGGGTATTTGTGCTGGATTTTCCGTGTGATATATGGCTAGGCAATCGATACCCTAATCGATACCTACTAGATCGTTTTATGAGCCACTGCCCCACAGGGCAAGCTACGAGCAGGATCAGTGAGTCTGATGGTCTTCTTACTTTCACAAGAGCAAAGCGATACCTTACAGAAACATGTGACGGAATCCTTGTAAAGCGATAAGACCCCCCAAAGCATCCATGGTCTAGCCATGAACAAGAAGTTTTGACGGACGCTCAAATGATGCCTGTTTGCTGGTCTTCGGTCTTCGTGCCACACAGAAACGGAGCTTTTGAAAAAGCACCTGAGCATCCCTAAACCCTAAACATCGCTAAATCCTGAAGCCTTTAGGATTTAGGGCTTAGGCTTTACGAGATTCCCGATTCCGGGGCCCTTCCCCATGCCACCTTTGCTGCAGTGAGTCCGGGGCAAGACTGCATCATTTATAGACTTACTGACGCCTCTGTCCCGACGGCCACGGGGCTCTTTCTTGCATTTTCTGGGGTATTTGACTCCTTTTCTGCCTTCTTGGAAAGTCTTCTCAGCAGTGGGCGGCCCGCCGCCGGGCTCCTCCCCAGCCTACGCACCTTTGGTCTCTCAGTCCTCACATGGGAATGCACCACCATCCCTACCCGTGACGATTGCCATTTCTGGTATGTCCACATACAAGCCGATTTCGCACGGGCGCGCGGCCACGCTGTGCAATTCTTTGGGCAACCCCGCGCCATTCGGCAACCCTCTGTGCTGCCTCCGCCGCGTGCGCGAGCTTTCACACATGTGGGTGTTCAAACCAATGCCCCTTTTATCACGGCCAGCACCCAGGCAGCTGTGTTGCAATCACCTCCGACCTCCTGTGGGGCAGGCGTTGTGCCGGATTCTGCGTCTGAGCTTGTTAGCCTGTGGTGTGATTCCTGGCACATTAAATGTATTGTGGCCTGCATTCCAGGGTTCACTGTTTGGGCCCTGAGAGAAGGCGGCCGCCTTGTTGGAATGTGCACTCCTGTCCCGACTTGGGAAGATGTTACTCGTGCACTTTCCCTCTCTCTTTGGGAACTTCCCCAGACCTTCCTCTCCGATAACAATCAGGTCTGGCCGTACCCTCGGGATCTTGCGGACGTCACAAGGAAGTGCGTCAGTGTTGGATACGATTCGCCCGAGGGCGTTTCGCAACTGCTCCGTCACTGCACAGCACCCTATCCCAGCCCACCGCCCTCTCCCCCTTCCTATCCGTCAGCTGCCCTTGGCTTAGCTTGTTTGAGTAAGGGTAAGCCCTTGCTGGGGTTTCTCCTCTTTGCTATGCAAGCGGGATCTGTGCAACTCGCGATTGCACCAGCTGCCCTTACTTCTCGAGTGGGAGCCGATGATCCTCTGCTCCCCCGGCGAGACTTTACGAGGACCTGCACCCTTTCCTGGACACATGAACTCGGGCGTCAAACTCATGGCTTTGCGGTTGCTGCCCCTCAACTCGGCGCCTATGTCGAATGCACCTCGCCGTGGCCTGAGGTTCAAATCCATCTGTGGTTGCCTGGCCAAGGGCCGGTTCACATGCGCGTCGGTGCCCGCCATATGGACATGCACCTCAGCGCCTATTTGGGTGCTTTCCTGCCAGACTGTGAGTACGGTCTTCATGTTGCGTATGACTCCAATCCCCAGGTCCTCGACCTGGTAGTCGCGCCTCCTTCTCCTGTGGCGTGGTGGATCCTGAGGGACTCCATTGGGTGCGAGTTGCTTCGGCCGGTCATCCAGCACTACACCTCGCACTGCTCCTTCTTCTTCTGCACAGTTGAACCCGATGGCGTGGTTCTTAGTGTTGAGCCCTCAGCCGAAGTCAGACACATGTCCCCGAGCCCGCACGGGGCTAGAGCTTTGATCTCGCGTGCCCTGCCCGGCCTCATTGGTCAAGTGATAGAGGGCACGCTGCAGATTGTCGCAGCAAAAGCAGGGCCTTCTGTTCTTGGTTGCCTGGCAGCGCTCTTGTTAACTTATCATGCGGCTGCGATGCAGCCACCGCAGGCGCATCAACTAGTACCGGTCGTTGAGGTTGCTCCCACACCGTCCACCATTCGCATCTGGACCTTAAATGTGCCGCAGCCAGTCGACCTGCCCTGGCGTCCGCAAGGGTATCAGACCCGATGGCTCCGTGAGTTGATGTGCCGTCTCCACCATATTCCGGATCCAGGGAAGTTCCGCTCCACTCACTCCCAGCAGGGGGGTACTGTTCAGCATGTCCTTTTTGTGCCTGTCGTGCCTCCAACCCTTCCGACGGCCAGGTTCTGGCTCCTCCATTGGGGCGCCGCGGCAGTTGTTACCTTCGGTCACTCACCCTTTAATTGGGAGGTTGTTTCCGCTCACCTCCGCACTTTGTTTCAAGGTGGCCAATTGCCGGAGCGGTGCCCTACACTTGCCTATGCTGGCCAGTTTTATGCTCCGGGTGCCGTTCTGCCGGATTTCCCCTCGGGTGCACCTGGGGACGATGATCCCTGGAACCCGGAGCCTTTTGTTGTCGAAAGTCCTTACTTTCGTCACATCCCCAGCCGTGGTCCTGCGCTTGAGCCGGCCATTGTTCTGGATGGACACGGCAACAGGTTGGCTGCTGGAGCTCTGCAAACTCCTCTGGTCGATCAAGGTGTGCAAACAGACCTTTCCGGAAATGGCACTGGCCTTGATCATGCCACCGTCTCCAGGGTGCACCACCTCTCTCAAGAGCTCTCGTTTCATACCGCTCGGCTCTGGGCCGGCCTCGCCGAGCCTGATGCCGAGCCGGCCGGAGATACTCCACCTGTCCTGAGACTCTCCTCCCAAAGCGCATGCGCGGCTGAGACCTCTACGGCCGATCTTTTGGATCTCAGTGATGCGTCAGGTTCTCAGACTATGTGCAGCATGCCGTGGGTAGCTTCGCTGCTTATCGGCGTTCGGGTACCTCGCGCCCTTGGGGCGTTTGGGAGTCTCCTTGCCCTCGCTGCACTCAACTCGGGGTCAATCATCACGCCACCGCAGGCTAGTTCTGAGGAAGAACAGGCCAACGATACTGCCCCTCCGGCTGTGCAGGCCATTAATATGTCAGCGGCGGATTGGGCCCCCGCACCCGTTGTGCGACCAGCCGGCCCTCCCCCGCCAGAGCCAGTGAATGCTCCCTTCCAACCTCACATGCTGTTTCTTCGAGCGGCGCGGCCACTTGAGGATTATGCCTTGAGCCAATGGCCCTCAACGGTAGATAGGGAACCTGCAGCCGATGAAGATACGGTGCGGAGAGTCCAAGCTGACCTCCAAGGCCTGCAGTGCGGGATTCGCACACTTGCGGCCGCGATCCCACTTGGCACGCCCTTCTGCATCCACAACCCGTTTACAGCCCGGCAGCAGTGCGAGATTGTCGAGTACTCATCGGGCCCCGAGATTAACCCCTTTGTCCTCTTCGCTGGCCATGCTAGAGGCCGCGGCTGGGCAGGTCTGGTGCTCCTCCAGCCCCAGCCCGATGCCAGAGCAGTTCATCTCATCGGCTGTCCTCAGGCGCCAGGTACTGTAGGGGTCGCTATTGAGCACCGCTTAATTCCCTGCTGCCTCCCCGCGACTGTTGACATCGCTGCCCTCAGGGCCCTTCGCTTGGATGGCGCTGAATATGACCTTCGGCCGCCAGAGGTGCAGGAAGGTACACAGGTGGTTCAGTTCAGGAACGGTGATTGCCTCTCAGCTAGGCGGCACGTTCCCCGCCGGTCCCACCAAGGCCAAGCTAGTGGGGATCCCTCTGTTTCCAGTGGAACGATGAGCGTGGGCGAGCGTGACGGCAGCCCCGCCGACGAGTCCTCGGCTATAGCTGCTACCCCTTCTATCTGGGTCCCTCTTTTACTCGCTCTGGTTCTCCGCAGCCGCCCTGTTTCTGCCTGGCTGGCTGCTGCCATCCTACCCAGCCTGGTGCAGAGCATGCACAGACCTGGGGGTTTCCCATGGGGTCGACTCGGTGAACCGAGTCTTTTCAGGGATAACTGCCGAGGATCCAGTCTACGTAGTCCTGCATAGTCCCTTCTTAGGGGTTTTCCCTCCCTACACGGCATCTCAGGAGACTCACCACTCGCAAGTCTGGGCTCAGTTCCGAAATGATGACCCAGGCTGGGCCGAAGACTTCTTCCCCGTTTGGCCGGGGCCGGCATTCAATGAACTTTCCATCGTCCCGATTGGACGTGATCCAGCTCTGGTCACACTGATGCTCATCTGGCGGGGCCACCACCGGGCCACGATTGTACCCCGCACGATGACCGTGGATTGGCTGACGTCCTTCACGGCCAGGCATATCAATAGCGCTGTTGGGGGTGTGTCTCTTCCCCACGGGCTTGCTGTCTGCGAGCTTTTCGATGTTCCCCCCGCCGCGTTTAGGTTCCGCAACGGGGATGTCATTTATGTCCATGATCCACCAGATGACCCCGATGAGC